CTCGTCGACTTGGCCACGGGGCTCATGACCTTCACGGCCAACGGCAAGGAGATCAACACCTTCTTCCAGGTGAGACAGACCCCCCCTGACCCCCGGGTGGGCCCTGGGGGGTCCCTGCCCTTCCCTGGGGGTCTCAGCCCCCGCTGTGCCCCCGCCCAGGTGGAGCCCAACACGAAGCTGTTCCCGGCCGTGTTCGTGCTGCCCACCACCCAAAACGTGCTCCAGTTCGAGCTGGGAAAGCTCAAGGTCAGGGGGGAGACCCCCCACCCATCATCTGGGGGGGGGACGGGGGGGGGGGGGGGGGGGGGGGGGGGACGGGGGGCACTGGGGAGCTGGTGGAGGGTCTGCGGGGAGGGGTTTGGGGGTCCGCAGAGGGGTCTTGGGGTCTGCAGGAGGGACCGAGGAGGACCTGGAGCCCTGGGGGGGTTGGGGGTCTCCAGGGGGTTGTTTGGGGTCTCTGGGGGTTGTTTGGGGTCTCTGGGGGTCCTGGTGGTCCATAGGGTGAACCACAAGCCACGTGGCACCAGGGGGTTGTTTGGGGTCTCCGGGGGATTGTTTGGGGTCTGTGGGGGTCCTGGTGGTCCATGGGGTGACCCACAAGCCACGTGACCCCATGGGGGTGCCGGGGGTCTGTGGGGGTTGTTTGGGGTCTCTGGGGGGTTGTTTGGGGTCTGTGGGGGTCCTGGTGGTCCGTGGGGTGACCCACAAGCCACGTGACCCCATGGGGGTGCCGGGGGTCTCCGGTGGGTCCCCAGGCTCCCCTCCCCTCACCCCCCCCTCCTGGTGCCCCCCCAGAACATCATGCCCATCTCGGCCGCCATGTTCAGCAGCGAGAGGCAGAACCCGGCCCCCCAGTGCCCCCCCCCGGCTGGTGATCCAGCACCTGACCCCCGTCACCTGGAGCCGGATGCCCACCCAGTACCTGGGCGTGGAGAGCTCCCGCCTGGGCGAGCGCCAGGGCTGGGCCGTCCAGTGCAACGAGCCCCTGCAGATGATGGCCCTGCACATCCCCGAGGAGGACAGGTCTGACCCCCCCGGGGACCCCCAGGGGACCCCCAGCACCGAGGGGACAGGTCTGGGACCCCCAGGGGACCCCCAGCACTGAGGGGGGCTCCTGCCCTGGGTACCGAGGGGGTCTCCCCACAGCAGGCCTGGAGTCCCATCCCCAGGAGACTTAGGGGTCCCCCATCCCAGGGGTCTCACCCCCAGTGGACTTTGGGGTCTCATCCCAGGGGTCCCATCCCAGGGGTCCCATTCCAGGGCTCTGACCCCCCTTTTCCCTCTGCCATCCCCCCCAGCAGCATCACCATCCTGGATCTGTGGGAGTAGGAGTTCCAGTCCTTGGGGTCTCATTCCAGTGGTCCCCACCCATCCCAGGGGTCCCACCCCAGGGCCCTGATCCCCCCTTTTTCCCCGTTCCAGGTGCATCAACATCCTGGAGCTGTGGGCACGTGGGGACCTGCCGCAGTTCCAGTCCCTGGGGTCCCACCCCAGAGCCCTGATCCCCCCTTTTTCCCCGTTCCAGGTGCATCGACATCCTGGAGCTGTGGGAGCGTGAGGATCTGCTGCAGTTCCAGTGCCACACTCTCCGCCTGTACTGCGCCGTGTGCGCCCTGGGCAACAACCGCGTGGCCCACGCCCTGTGCAGCCACGTGGACCAGGCCCAGCTGCTGTTCGCCATCGAGAGCCCCGAGCTGCCGGGGCCTCTTCGGGCCGGCTACTACGACCTGCTGCTGGCCATGCACCTGGAGGCCGCGCAGCGCGCCCGCGCCTCCATGAGCGCCGAGTTCATCGTGCCCATCACCGACGCCACGCGCGCCATCGCCCTCTTCCCCGAGGGGGACAGGGTGCCGGGACCCCCGGGCGTGGGGCCCAGCGCCTGCCTGCGCCCCCAGCCCCACTTCTCGGAGCCCTGCTTCGTGCGGGCCGGCGGCGCCGGGGGGGCCCCGCTGAGCCCGGCCGTGCCCCTGGCCGAGCTGGGCGCCAAGGCCATGAGGATGCTGGCCGAGGCCGTGGCCGGGGGGGGCCCCCACGCCCGGGACCCCGTGGGGGGGAGCGTGGAGTTCCAGCTGGTGCCCGTCCTCAAGCTGGTGTCGGCCCTGCTGGCCGTGGGAGCGCTGGGCGACGACGACGTCAGGAGGGTCCTGGCCATGATCGACCCACGGGTGTTCGGGGAGAGGGCGAGGGGAGGGGAGCAGGAGCAGGAGGAGGAGGAGGAGGGGGAGGAAGAGGAGGAGGGCAGGAGGAAGGCCATCGAGGCCGGAGAGGCTGAGGAGGAGGAGGAGGAGGGAGAGAGGAGGAGGAGGAAGGCTATTGAAGCTGGAGAGCTGGAGGAAGGGGAGGAGGAGGAGGAGGAGGAGGAGGAGGAGGAAGAGGAGAGGAGGAGGAAGGCCATCGAGGCTGAAGAGCTGGAGGAGGAGGAGGAAGAGGAGAGGAGGAGGAAGGCCATCGAGGCCGGGGAGCTGCAGGAGGAGGAGGAGAAGGAGAAAGAGGAAGAGGAGGAAGGGCTGGAGGAGGGGCTGCTGCAGATGAAGCTGCCGGAGTCGGTCAAGCTGCAGGTGAGGAGGGGGCTGGGGGTCCCTGTCCCCTCCCTGGGGTCCCCGTCCACTCGTTGGGGTCCCTGTCCCATCCCTGGGGTCTCTGTCCCCTCCCTGGGTCCCTGTTTCCATCTCCAGCCCCCGGGGCCGTCCTGGGGATCCCCCGTCCCCATCGTGTCCCCAATGTCCCCAATGATGTCCCCAATGTCCCCATTGTCCCCAGATGTGCCACCTGCTGCAGCCCCTGTGCGAGCGGGAGCTGTGGCACTGTGTCCCTGATGTCCCCAATGTCCCTGTTGTCCCCAGATGTGCCACCTGCTGCAGCACCTGTGTGAGCGGGAGCTGCAGCCCCGTGTCCCCAATGTCCCTGTTGTCCCCCCTGTCCCCAGATGTGCCACCTGCTGCAGCACCTGTGCGAGCGGGAGCTGCAGCACCGCGTGGAGGCCATCGTGGCGTTCTCGGAGCGCCACGTGGAGCGGCTGCAGCGGGACCAGCGGCGCCGGTACGGGCTCCTCATGAGGGCCCTCACCATGTCGGCCGCTGAGACCGCCCGCAGGACCAGGGAGTTCAGGTCACCACCACAGGAGCAGGTGGGGACACGGCTGGGGGTGGATGTCCGAGGGGATGGGCATGGGGACACTGCTGGGGACACCACAGGGACACCCCTGGGGACACTGGGGGACACGGCTGGGGGTGGACAGCCAAGGGGATGGGCATGGGGACACTCCAGGGACACCCCTGGGGACACTGGGGGACATGGCTGGGGGTGGACAGCCGAGGGGATGGGCATGGGGACACCACTGGGAATACCTTGGGGACACTCCTGGGGACACCAGGGGACATAGCTGGGGGTGGACATCCAAGGGGATGGTCATGGGGACACCGGGGGGACACGGCTGGGGGTGGATGTCCGAGGGGATGGGCATGGGGACTCCCGGGACACTGCTGGGGACACCACAGGGACACTTGTGGGGACTCATATCCAAGGGGACACTGCTGGGGACTCCCCTGGGGACCAACATCCGTGCGAAGACCTTGGGGACACCTTGGGGACACCCCTGGGGACACCCCTGGGGCCACTCACTCATGGGAACAGTGGGACACACATCCAAGGGAGCGGCCTGGGGACACTCACAGGGACACCCGTCAGTGGGGACACACCTGGGACACACCTGGGGACAGGTGGGGGAGCCCCCCCCCGGGTCGCTGGCCGTGGGGTGGTCCCGCTGACCTCGTGCGCCCCCCCCCGTGTCCCCCCCTGTCCCAGATCAACATGCTGCTGCAGTACAAGGGGGGGGCCGAGGGCGAGGAGTGTCCCGTGCCCGGGGACATCCGCGACGAGCTGCTCGACTTCCACAGCGACCTGCTGGCCCACTGCGGTGAGGGGGGCCAGGGGACACCCCCTTGGGGAACAGGGACACCCCCCTAGGGCACAGGGACACCCCACTGCGGTGAGGGGGGCAAGGGGACACCCCCCTTGGGCTTGGGGACACCCCCCTGGGGCACAGGGACACCCCACTGCGGTGAGGGGGGCTCGGGGACACCCCCCTGGGGAACAGGGACCCCCCCCAGGGGAACTGGGAACCCTCCTGGGGGTACTGGGATCCTCCCCAGGGCATGGAGACCCCCAGGCAGGGACCCCTCCTTTGGGGGGACACGGGACCCCCCCGGTGACCCCCCTCCCGTGCCCCCCCAGGTGTGGAGATGGAGGAGGAGGAGGAGGAGGAGGAGGAGGAGACGTCACTGCGGCAGCGGCTGATGGGGCTGGTGCAGAAGGTCGTGGGGGTCCGGAGCCCCCCCAAAGAGGAGGAGACCCCCCCCGAGGAGCCCCCGGTGCCCAGTAAGGGGGGGGACGGGGGGCTGGGGGCAGGGGGACCCCCAGGACTGGCCCCAGGCCACGGCCGGGGTGCCCCCGAGGTGTTGGCCGAGGTGTCCCCGAGGCTTTGGCTGAACTGTCCCCGTGGCCAACACATGTCCCCAAAGGGCCACCCGGGATGTGCCCACCTGGCCCCGGGCACCCTGGAGCTGATGGCCCCGAGCGTGGGGCACATGAGTCCCACCCGTCCCCACTGTCCTTGTTTGTCCCCGATGTCCCTGCTGTCCCCAGTGTCCCCAGGTCCCTGTGTCTGTCCCCGATGTCCCCATTGTCCCTGTTTGTGTCCCCAGTGTCCCTGCTGTCCCCAATGTCCCTGTGTCTGTCCCCAGTGTCCCCAGTGTCCCTGTGTCTGTCCCCAATGTCCCCAGTGTCCCCATTTGTGTCCCCAGGCACCCTCCAGGAGCTGATCTCCCAGACCATGGTGCACTGGGCTCAGGAGTCCCGCCTGTCCCTGCTGTCCCCAATGTCCCCAATGTCCCTGTTTGCTGTCCCCAATGTCCCTGTTTTTGTCCCCAGGCACCCTCCAGGAGCTGATCTCCCAGACCATGGTTCACTGGGCTCAGGAGTCCCACCTGTCCCCAATGTCCCCAATGTCCCTGATGTCCCCAGTGTCCCCAATGTCCCCATTTGTGTCCCCAGGCACCCTTCAGGAGCTGATCTCCCAGACCATGGTGCACTGGGCTCAGGAGTCCCTGCTGTCCCCAGTGTCCCTGTTTGCTGTCCCCAGTGTCCCCAATGTCCCTGTTTCTGTCCCCAATGTCCCCGTTTCTGTCCCCAGGCACCCTCCAGGAGCTGATCTCCCAGACCATGGTGCACTGGGCTCAGGAATCCCACCTGTCCCCAATGTCCCCAATGTCCCTGTTTGCTGTCCCCAATGTCCCCAATGTCCCCATTTCTGTCCCCAGGCACCCTTCAGGAGCTGATCTCCCAGACCATGGTTCACTGGGCTCAGGAGTCGTTCATCCAGAGCCCAGCCCTGGTGAGGGCCATGTTCAGCCTCCTGCACCGTCAGTACGACGCTCTGGGCGAGCTGGGCCGGGCGCTGCCCAAGGCCTACGCCATCAGTGCCACCTCCGTGCCCGACACCACGGCCCTGCTCGAGTGCCTGGGGCAGATCCGCTCCCTGCTCATCGTCCAGATGGGCCCCGAGGAGGAGAACCTCATGATCCAGAGCATCGGGTACGGGGCCCACCCTGGCACCCCAAACAGCACCCTGGGACCCCAAACAGCACCTTGGGACCCTGAACGGGACCCTGGGACCCCTGAACAGCTTCCTGGGACCCCAAACAGCACCCTGGGAACCCAAACAGTGCCCTGGCACCCCAAACACCACCTTGGGACCC